ACTGATAATAAAGAATGAAGCAGGACCGACAAAAACTAGGGAGACCGGAATAGACATTGCTGGCTTATTAGCCGACATCAGCCAGTGATACCCAATCCCAGGGAACGGCGACCACTGAGATTCGAACCCGCAACCTTTGGTCACTTCATCTTATATCACCAGTCGCTATGCAACTGCCTGCGAGGACGCTAGATTGATCTACAAGGCAAAGCAAAAATGGAAGCGTAAGAAAACTCATACCTGAGCATCATTGTGCTGAATGGTAGGGCGCTCACCGATCTGGTTACGGGAGATGCTCGTTCCATTTTGCCTTGAAGCCCTATCTAAAGCCCTCGTATAACGCCTTGTAGTACATGACTGGCTGTTGACGGCTAATAAGCCAAAAAATGTGACTATCTGCGAGTGCACTAGACTAGGCTCTAAGTCACAACGGGATGAGCATGTTCCTTAACCAGATTGGTGAGTGCCCTACCGTCCATCCTTTCTCCCATCGAAACTGACAAAAACAACGAGCACGTTGTGCAATGGTTGAATGTTGAGCTCAACGGCCGGAGGTCCCGGGTTCGAATCTCAATGGTTTAGACCGTAGAGATTGGGTATGAGTGGCTGGTGACGACTAATAAGCCAAAAAGTGACCATTCCGGTCTCCCTTTGCTTTGTCGGATACACGCCACTATACGTCTGAGATCACTAAGCTACAGCCCGATATCATTCAAGAACGAGCCTCAAGGCACAACGGAACAAGTAGATTCCATAATCAGATAGATCGGATGAAAATCCCAGTTCCATTATATTCCCGATCGCGATCGAGAAAGCAACAAGCCCATGGTGCAATGGTTCGGTGCTAAACTCAATGACCAAAGGTCCCGGGTTCGAATCTCGGGGGCTCAGACCCTTCAGATTGGGTATGAGTGGCTGATGATGGCCAATAAGCCAGAAATGGTCATTCCGGTCTCCCTTGCCTTTGTTGGTTGCATTCCATCATATGTCTGAAGTCGTTAAGCGATTGCCCGTGATCACTCAAGAACGAGCCTCAAGGCAAAACGGAATATGTATATTCCCTAATCAGATAAATCGGATGAAAATCCCAGCTCCATTATATTCACAATCGCGATCGACAAAGCTACAAGCCCATGGTGCAATGGTAAAGTGTTGCATTCAATGAAAGGTCGCGGGTTCGGAACTCGGCAGCCGCCATCCCTGAGATTGGGTAGGACTGGCTGATGACAGCTTATAAGCCAGTAATGGCCATTCCAATCTCCCTTGTCTTCTTCGGCTCCGTTTCATTGTGTGTAAGTCTCTTACAAGCAAAAAACTGCCTTCATTACTCAAGGCCTAAATGGAATCTCATTTATCGTAATCGGTGAGCCAGATTACAACCGCGCAACATCCACCTAAACTCGTCCAGGCCCACTGAAGGAAACTAGAAACGCAGTGGTTGACTAGGTTGAGTTCACGCCTATGCTTGTCATACACCGGATAGCCTCTACACGACTACACACCAGAACTCAAACGGTCTTGTGATTTCTTAATAACTAGTGTTAATGGCTTCTCCCTTGTCTCTTCCGGCAATAATATCCGCCTATACTGCCACCTGCTACGGCTGTCAGAGCCTCAGTCGGGACCCGAGACAGAGCGGGACAGATGAGTTCCGTTAGCGGCCGGTGAACGT